GAAGCCATGGGTCTTGTCTGATATCATCCTGTCCCCTTAGCATGCACTGCACCCACATGTTAGGTGAGTGGAAAACACTAGAAAATAAACATTTTATACTGCTTTGCACAGGTGAAGAGAGAGATAATAAAATAGACCCAAGTGTAAAAATAAGCTGAGGTACGAGTGCTTAAAATCTTGGGAACTGAAGAGGTTTCAGCTGTCATAGAAGGTTTTCTGCTGGGGAAGAGGAATAACTGCCTGGTTAACAGGAAGCACATTTAGAAGAACCATATCTGAAGGCAATGTTTCAGGTTTCATGTATTTCAGACACCTAAATGTAGGCAGGTAGTTCTTTCTAGATGTCCTAAGCCATCCAAGCCTCCTGCAAGGGTCTGAAAGGGTTGATACAGAAGCTACAGACAATCCATCCACCTCTGTGGAACAACGACTGCTGATGTAACCTCAGCACATCTGGAACAGCATGAGACACCAGGAGTTTAGGGACTGGAGTACCTGATGTCTCTCCTTAAACTCAGGGCTTAACTTCTTGCTACCTAAATGTCTGATATGATCACACATGGCTGGTCACTGACATTCACAAACCAAGAACTAACCAAACACAAAAGATCAGCTGGCAAGTTGGACTTGTTGGAGAACTATGACAAAGCCCTCCTTGACGATGGACATGGGAGTAGGTCACAGAGAGCATGCATTTCTGGCTAGTGGTAGGGGACTTTCAACACCCAGAAAAGTTGTTCTGGACCAGCAGTAAGCAGTGGGAGTTGGGAGGAAGGCAGCCTCTGTGGGGTGAACAGGTAAGGGATGGGAGCAAGGGCTGCTGCTCACAGCACATCATTAAGCACGTGGCTTTGACTGCTCCTCCAGCACAGCAGTACCCATATCCAGGCATTAGCTCTATCTCATTTGCAGCCTTAGTACAATGTATCTCCACATTTCAGACATGAAGCTCCTCAGGGGAAAATTCAGAATCTGATTACCACACAAATCTAGCTGGGAAGCAGTTCTCTTATTTCCCCCAACCCTCAGTCCTTCCTTTCTCTGCCTAAAAAACACTTGGGTGTGAAGCCATACTTTTCCAGTAGCTAAGATATTGCCCCTCAAAGTACGTATCTACCTCCCAGAAGCATTACTAGACTTATGCAGCTGGGTATACTCCCTTAGTTGATTTAATAGTCATGAGTCCACACCCTGAACTTGCCTATCACATGCTGGAGCAAATAGACAAGCGATTTCAGGCCATTATAATGTTCCGTCAATTCTCGTTTGATCATTATGTTATGATTCAGTACTTTCATTGACTCACACTCTCTTAAACGATCACGGTTTTCTGTGGATTGTTTGCATATTACACTGCTATGGTTTTATTTATTTACCTTCTTGCTTTTAAAGGCTAACTCTTTACTGCAACCCAGAAGATAAATTCTGGCTCCAGATTAAAAAAGAAAAAAAAAAATATTAGGTTCTGATTTTGTATCTTTTATAGCATTGGCAGTTTTTCTTAAGCAGAAGCATAAAGACATTCTCTTAAAACTTATCCCCAGAGTGAACTGATTGTTATAAAACCGGCATTAGTCTTTTGTTTAAAAACAAAAAAAAAAAGTTATAATTAAAAAAAAAAAGATTCCTCACGTCCACATTACTGTGTTTGGCATCCTGTAGTCAACACCACAGTACATCAGGTTCTACAATCTGATAATTGCTGCTAACCGTTCAGTTTTTCAATCACAACCACTACAAGAGCTTTATATACATATATATATATATATATATATATATACACATATATACATATATATATATACATATATATATAACATAGAAGAGAAGTAAATACCACATAAAAAGATCAAAATCAACCACTTATCTAAATCACAGTAGGCATAGATAAAGCCTGTCCTGTACCATAAATAGATTACCACAAGTAATGTATGGGAGGAGTAGATTGTGGAAGGAATTTCACATCCTACTGAAAATTCAATATATATCAGACTCACATAAGATTTTTGCAACAGTTAAAAGCTTTGCATAGACAGCTGTGAGAACAAGCAAACTGGTGTAAGGTATTTAAATAGGAACAAAGGAAAATGTAGGGACTTTGATAGTTTTGCATTTGCTTAGCTCCTCTACTATTTCACAAACTTCTACTATTTCACAAACTGTACATATATTATTTTAACTCCAACACATATAATGCAAACAAATTTAATCCTAAAGGCATTTGCAGCTTGAATTTCCTACATAGGGATCATAAATCTAGAATGGGAAGCCTGAAATCGTTAAAGTCGCATATTTATAAAATCATATTCAATTAGGTTAAAAAAGCGCAATTTCTGTCATCATGTCATAAAAAGATGTGTTTTTCTCTCAGATCTACTATAAAGAAAAGCTCCCTATATTGTTACAGATAGGGGCTGTTTTCAATCAGTTACAAGGAGCAATCCAATTACCGGATGGTTTAGTGCAGTAACTGACTCCAGGCTAATTTAATTTCTTTAGGTCTCTAAAGATCAATTGATCTGATTTGTTTCCCTCCCCAAAGGCTGTTTAGGAAAAAGCAGGCTTAAATACCTGGAAATGAAATACAAAGCTCTGTACACTTTCACACTACTTAGGTCATTCTGAAAAGCTGGAACTTGCGATAAATGAGTGCTCTTTTGGCCCTAACATCACAGGATGCTTTACAGGAGACCATTAAGATCACCACAGAACATTGCAGATTATGCATGCACATACTGTAAGCCAGCTCAGGAAGCACTGCATGGTGTATATATTCACAGCTTCTAGATAAATACTCATGTTTCATGAGCTGGGCAAACACGCAACTCCACTGCATAGTCTTTTCTCCAGCAAATATGTTTTTTAAACAGTCATCTTATTGAATTTACTAAGCTTACAGCTCGACCAAGTGAAGTCACATTGTACTAGTCAATGTAGCCCCTACATCTTGTAATGTACACCTCCGCAGAAGTTAAGACTGGAAATTCCCTGTTGTCAAACCTCACTTTACTATTTCTTTTGCTTCACATCAGATTTAAGCAATTTTGCTCATGCTAAGATGAAAGCTATGGAAACAGCATGCACTTGGAAAATGATTTATGTGCCTGAATATTTTAATGCTGGAAATTAATAAAACATTTGGTACGCTTGGACCATATCTGATAATTTAGGAGATTCTCAATCACTCGCTTTTGTTTGTCACATTTCTACTGCCTTACTACTTAATATACTGTGCAGCAGTTTGTGTTTCTTAAACACCATTGTCCCATAATAAGAGCTAAATGTCACCATTTAAGTCAAAATAAGACCTCATCCAAACGTGGACTCTCAAATCCAGAGTTTTGATGGGACTTCAATACTTTCCCACATTCTGTTTCTTGTATTTATTGTAGGTTTCACATTTGGATACCTTATCTTTCATGGCAACATTCAAGCCTGGGTTGGCTGCCTGTCTCAGGCTCTATTCTTATCAATAAACAAAAGGGCACTGTGGTTTCTGTTCAGCATTTCTGACTTTGTGCCATGTACTGTTATAATAAGATGTCCTCTGGAAAAATTCCCTTTGTATCCAGCACCACGATAGTCGGTTCATCAGCACGGAGGTAACTCAGTTTTTCTCTCAGCTTATCTATTCAGACTCTCTCAAAGCTCTGTCATTAGACGTTGCCTGTCTGTTAAACAAGGAAACTGAAATGTGAAAATCGAGGTCTGTGCTCTTTCTAAAGGTCCTTTCTTGACTATTTACTGCATACAAACCTGAGCTTTGGACATTGTCTACCATAGTGTTCTATCCAGATACCAAACTAGCTATTTTAATTAAATCTACTTTGGTTTTCGCAATTTTCAACTAAGACCTTCACCTAAGAAGCAGTTTTTAACAGTTTTGCAAGAATGCTGTAGTCCACAAGCTTTCTTTCTCTAAATTACCACTCTTTCACCCAGCTACTTAACAAATCACTAATGATCCAGTCACTAGTGGAGTATAATATATACCACCATTTCCCAGCCATAGATCTGCTGGTATTGACATACTTTTGCAGTGCTGCAAGGAGGTTTTTTCTAGATATACACTCACTGAAGTCATATTCAATTTATCCCCTATATGCACCCATGAAAGATGAATCACAGCTACATCTGTATATCTCCGCATAGGAGCTTGGAGGGTTTTGGCCTCTCCAAATTTTCTTTCATGATCATATACTCATAGGAAAAATTGCATGTGCTATATGCATCTCCATCAAGTTCTCTTCCAGCATAAAGAACACAGGCTGCTTAATTTGCTTCATTTGCCAAACCATTTGACACGATATCATAGAAATGTGATATGCTGGAGGGCGACCAAGAGATCGAAGTTTATTTCCGACTCAGCTGTGGGTTAATGCTTCTGTCCCTGTGGCAGCAGTTGCTTATAATGAGCTGTACACACAAAACTGTAGTTTCAAGATAAAGCTTTCCCCTGATGAAGCCTGCGGTACAATTTTAGAGAAACAAAAAAGGCATCTTTGTCGTCAGAGTGGGAGTTATGGGATTTGTCCTGATGGCAATAATTGCTGACTTCAGTGTCTGGGACTGCTGAAGTGTATTTTGGGAAGCTCTCCTCTCTCTTTTCCACTGTGTGGAGCAGTGGGGAGCTATAAAGATGTTTTTCACAGGACCACTGCCCTTGTTTCCTGGTGACCCAATTCACAGCCCTCAATAGGATTACATGACATGATAAGAAAAAAGCTTTTCATTCTGAAGTTGTAAAACTGACCCTCTCTCCCTTCAAGAAGCCCCATCAGGAAGATGAATATATTGGCCCCAACTGGAACAGGTGTCAAAACGCAAAACAGCTCTTTCTTCATAAAGTTTATAAGTATTTTTAAAGGAGGTAGAGGAGGTTTACTACATGCAACAAGATAACTTTAAAACATTCAGCTTCTCAGGAGTTGAAAGCATGCTTTTCCTACAAACTCTCTTTATCTTATCTGAATGGAAAGTAAACAGAAAGTCCCCATTACCTCTCGATATCAGTGAGTCTGGAAGAGTCCCGGAATCCTTTGGCAAAAGGGTTGCTGTCAATTTTCAACTTGGTTATCTGGAAACCCAGAAAAGAGCAACACAACATGAATATAGTGTTAAGGTACAGCAGCGTACAAATCATTAACCTATCCATTTCTCTGCTAATTGTATCCATGCTCCTTGCGTGTGTGAGCTGTTCTTAAGATGCTGCAAAGCAGGGGAGGCAAAGCAGGGTGTGGTATACACATGGCAATGGACGGACTGAAGGGCAAGGTGGGCTCAGCCTTCTGTTACCCAGAACAGGAGGAACCCACTCACGTGAGACATTATTGCTTCCAAACAGTGTAACAGCATGAGTCAGGTAGTCTTTAGAGGTGCAAAACACAGCACCCTGCTAACATCTGAGCTGCACACCAGCTAACGGAAGCTCAAACCGTGGGTTCTTATGCAAACTTGAGGATGCTGCTTCAGTTACACCACACTTTTTTTTTTTTTACCCCTCCCTAAAACTGTGATGCAAATGCTCTCAACCAGACCTACTAGCCATCACACATATACTGGTTAACTGTGGGGTTTTTTTTGATTGGAAAAATGCCAAAGAAGGGAAAGACAGGGAAAAAAGTGGGGAGAACTCAGATTTAAACTGACAGAACCTGGGTTAAATGAGTAACCCCATTAAAACCATCACGATCCATGAAAACCAAAACACTCCTCCTATCTTCAAATGCTGCTCAGCAGCTGTACCCAGCCTTCTCTTAGTTCCAGAGTGACTCACGGATCAGGGGAGCCTCTGCCCCACAGCATCAGGGCTCCCCTCAGCTTTGCAGTGAAACTTCTCCAGAAGGGATGGTGGTTTCCACTCTGCTTCTTGGGAGCAGGAAAACACATCCTTGCCCTTGTAAAATTTTCCAGCTGTCCAACCAAATGAGGTTTGGTCAATATCACTTGAGACTTCAAAACAATACGCAGATTTGCCAACCATGCTTCTACCAGGAATTAAAATTAAACTGTAAGTAAGAGTTAGAAGGAAAATACAAGGTCTGTCCTGCAAGGCTATGAACTCCGCCAACTCCAGCTGAAACCCCTGAAAAACATTGCCTACTGAGCACTGATTTCAGCCTTGCTTTCCTCAAAAAAAAGCCTGTATCACAGGGGCCACAACCTCATTTTTAACAGCTGGCTCACCAGACTCAGAAAGAAAAGTGATCTTTTCCAAATCCTCAGACAATCAAATGCTGTCACCAAGCAAAGTTATTTCAAAAATCGGTGGCTCTTGCTCTGAGGCACTGTGCAAGAGGCACTATGGCTCATCAGTTGTTAGTGTGGGCTGGTCAAACAGCACAGGACCTTAGCATTGGCTGAGGATTTGAGGCCATCTCACCATGCAAACACACATAGTGACAACTCTTCCTGAATTCTACCCTTGTCACAGGATCCTGCGACAGCTCAGCAAGCCAACTATGGTCTCCTCTGCTTCCTGAGACACCTGTTTCCTGGACTGGTGATGATGTGAAGAGCAGTGGGTTAGTGCCTCACGTACGGGGAATATTTTTGTGGCAGCGCTTGAAAACTACCTTGCAAAAAGGCAAGCTGTAACTAGTTCCATTGACTTAGATCACCAACACATGGAGCCAAGTGTACCGCAGAATCATAAGGATTTCTATTCATCTCTTGAGCGTATTTTCACCAATCAAACTTACATTTTCCTAATATTAAAGATTTGGTATGACATCACAACAGAAACTTTTTGTATCCACCAAAGCCAGATGAGACTCACAATCATTTATGGCCATATTTTTCCTGAGAGACTGTCTCACAAACAATCAGAGAACATCTGCTAGAAAGCATTTTAAAATGAAATCTGACCTACAATTCAACTCTGTGGCAGTGGTTTGACTGTTTAAATAAATGCATGCCCTTTAAATCTTAAATTATGAGATAGTTTGTTGAAAGTGTAATGTATTTAGCTTTTATCTAATAACCTCCAGAAATGTAATCAACCCCTCCTTAAAACAGTTCTGAAAGAAATGGCAAAAATGAAAAAAGGCTCCATTTTCATTAGTCATAAATAAAATGACAGCATCAACCTCTAGGGGTTCCGGAGATGTTCCATTGAGAAATTTTCCAGGACTTATTGCATGTGCTTTGGGAAGCTTAGTTTGGAAACATCTCTGATGTAAATATCATCAGTAAACATAAATCCATCCTACAGAAATAAATGTCAGGTTTAGCTGGGTTTGTGTCTCTTACTGTTCTAGTTTCTACAGAAAATTAAATGGAAAAAAAAATAACCATATGTCCAAGGTTTTTGTTCTTGTGATTGCCATGTGCTGAATGCATTTTCTGCAACATTCAGATACAAGCCCGTGTCTACAATCTAGAAGTCCTGATGCTGAAGCCTTAAAACTAGATGTGGTGTCTGTTGCAAGAATCAGCTTAACACTATTACTGCTACATTCCCAGCGTATCTGGCCCCTTATGCCATGGTTTTGTTTTGCTTGTAACATTTAGAAATTAAACGGTTTTGCTTCATATTAAGAAATGCAGGCTTCTTTAAATAAACCAGCAGGTTCTTTAACTCTGTGATGCTGTCCGCCCACGCCTTTGGACAGTGCTTTTTACCTTTTTACTTTTTTTTTTACATCTTTTTACCTTTTTACCTTTTTTTTTTTTTAGTGCCTTCTTAACTTGGAGGAATTAGAAAGGGTTGTCTGTTTTGAAGTGCAATAGACATTAATCCCTTTAAACACATTCCGAATCATCCTGAAGCCAACAACATATTTCTACTAACTTAAATATTAAAGCTCTATCCACTGTTGAGCAAAGCCTCTGCTTTCTGATTGTTTATATACTTCCTAAAATTACTCATTAGCAATCCATTGTTTTCATCCCCTCCATTTTGTATATATTATTCACTGGCATGCAAATTGAAATTCAAACATCTGGATGTAATCTGGGCAGCGTCTGAAAAGCGTATCTCTGAGTGATTTCCCTTACATTTGAGCCTTACAGCTTAATCAGTCAACTTCTCAAACCCATGAAATCATCATGTGCAAACCAGAATATCACTCAGCTCATAGCTCATGGCGTAAAAGATCACTGCAAATAAGAACAGTTCCTTAATGAACTATAATTAGAAAAGAGCTAAATGATAATATGTAAACTGCCTCATACAGAAAGAAGGGAAGACAAATGAAAGCCTCTTTCATGTTGTCTTTACTCACATGAATAATCCTTATGTCCCTTTGAAGTTAGCAGAAGTACTCGTATACATAAGAATTACTCCTGAAGATGAATTGAACAAAACCACTACATACATTAGAGTGGAAAGGTAAGTTATATCAGAAACTTCCCCTAAGACTGGGGAAAAGGGGAATTTTTAGCAGTATGGGATTTAGTTAAATCTTTGGAAATTAACAACTGTACTCACCAATTGATTCTGGTAGGCAGTGACAGCTGTAAAAACTGTCTCTGGAAAAATAAATGTCCTGAACTCTTCAGATTTCAGATTTAGCAAAGAAGCTGTGTGATCTTTCTTCTTAATGATGTGGACCCTTGGCTGGTACTTGTGCATGGAGTTTAAAATGATCTGCAAGAAAAAGTTACAAGGCATTGTTCTGAGAGGAAGATTAACAGTACCCTTGAAGACTAAAAAACAACAAGTTAAAAAATATCAAAAACAATTAACACTGCAGGGGAGACATCTGTAATCTAACTGGTCAGGGGCTGATTTTGGTGATGAGCAAGCTCTCCACATCCTCTAGGTAGCTCTTCACTTCAGAGGATGAATCTGTAGCCAGAGCCAGTCCAAGAGCTGGATTCCTTTCTCTCCTATGCTACTGGTGAGCACCTACCCATTCCTACAGGTGAGGTGCTACCTACCTGATTTTACTGCCTGCATGTAAACCAGTTTGCAGGTGTCACCTGCAAGGGTAAGTATTTTACTCTTGAAAATGCACAACCAGGAATTGACATTTGCAAATTGTGCACATGAAAAAAAAAAAAAAAAAAAAAAAGAAAGAGAGAGAGAGAGAGAGAGAGAGAAAGAAAACCGGACAATAATAACAAAATATAAACTTATATCATCACCACCAGCACAAACTGGTTGACGAAAAATGAAACTTCCCAAATCTTTTTATTGTGGCAAACATTTAAAGCAACTGACTTGATAGATGCTCTTCACCGCAAACTACCAAAAATGAAAACAAAGAGAAAAAAATGGTACAGAATTCCCAAAAGACCAAGTTTTTTCCATTTTTTCTCATTAATTATTGTTCACGAGCCCCAAAAATAACTCTAAACCTAACGTACCAACTAACCAATTCCAATGATCACTGGCGTCAAACAGCAATTCCCACTTGCTTCAATTACCACTGGATGGAGGCCTTTTTGGCTGCCTCTAACCACAGCATTACAATATAAGAATTAAATACAGAGCTCGGCTTGCACCAGTCCTTGCTTTGGATATAATCACAGTCACAAGACTAAACTGGCAATGGTGTGGGTGGTTCTATTTTACAGGGGCCATAACGACACTGCAGCCAGCTCTGTACATCTGGAATAACTAATGTGCATTCCTCGGGAAGCGTTAACTTCAGCTGAAACACAGCAGAAGTGGGGCAGTATTTCATGCTAACTCAGTAAACAGGGAAGGTTGCATGCCTTTGCTTTTCCTTCAGGGCCAAATATTGCTATGACTTGCACTGTGACTCTGGGGGTTGCACACAGTAAGAGGAAAGTCATTGCAGCATCCATTGTCCTGAAAATGTCGTATGTCAGCCTCTACCAGCCCAAGTCCTTTCTCAGGTCACTCCACCATTGTATATATGCACACACAATGGTCATCAACCTTGCTGCTAATATCTCTGGCACATTTCTGTCTCTCTGTAAAATTTTGCCTTACCAGCTGGGCCATTGGACTGCTCTAAGCAGCTGGAAAAGATATTAGAAAGGTGGTGAGATTACTGAGGGGCTGGCCCACAGACCTCGGCGCTTCCCATGGCCTCTGGTGGCTACTACATCCACGCTCTGGCATGACATCTGAGCAGCAGCTGAGCGGAAGGAGGAACGGGCTGTGACACAGCAGCTCCCACACGTGCCCCTTCCTCTCACTGCTCTGTGAACGCAAACTGTGATAAAGAAACCTCATTTGTCAGACAACACCATGTAATCCTTTATGAAAGGTTTCCGAAACCCAAAGCAGACACAGGTGACGTCCTCTGCTACTATCTTCTACCCGACAGGTTCCCACCAGCAGCAGGTGGGGTTAGTCAGGTACCAAATAGTCAAATACAGCCCATAGGTCACAGGAGACCGACAGCCAAGGTTAAGGGACCTGTTTCCGTCTCACTGGGGTCTCTGCGTGCAGTGCTCCTTCTGCCTCCTGCACATGCTGCCAATGCCGCAGCACCCACTGACATTAAATTCAGCAGGATACTGCACAAAGATACTCCTTAATGCATCTCTGTGTGTCAGGGCCACCAAAACAGCATGCAGGAGTTGGATGCCTCAGGTGTACCTCTCAGAGTAGCCCCCAAGGGTGGTCTCACCATCCAAGCAGCTCCCCACCACCAAGGAGTAACTGTCAGAAAGTCTCAGATGCTGTCTCAGGGATGCTTGCGCTGCCATTCCCATAGGGAAGCATCAGGTGTGCACCGACTTAGGGCAGCTCCCCAGCATGTGCTTACTGGACATGCAGCGTGATCACAGGCCCCCAGCCCTCCCATCTGCCTCCGTGCTGACAACCCCTGGCAGGGGAGGATGACCGGGATCCGTCGGTACAGGATCCGGCTCGCAGCAAGGTCGGGCGGGCTTTGTAGGCAGCTGGCTCCCACTGACGGTCACCAGAGGCAATCTGGATGCCAGCTGCGAAATCCCCGAGGTGGCTTTGAATTCAGAAACTGTGCTGGGAATGCAGCTTCCACATTCGCTGAGGAAGAGAGTTACCGGGCAAAGTTTGCCTTTTAAAAGTGTGTGGGTTCCCAACTTCTGCCAGGCTAACTTTAAGAAAAAACTGTGTGTAACTGCCGGTGGCTATTCTGAAACCCTGGCTTTCACAGTTGGCCATGTTCACACCTCTGTGTTTGCTTTTGCAGACATTAATCTGTTTGAGTTTTGCTATCATAAATGCCAGAAGAGCAATTATGATAATGTATACACTCATGATTCACCTCGCCATAAACCAGAAATAATGCCACCACCGCTGAGTGCAACCGAAAGTCCTAGAAAAAAACATCCTGTGTGAAAAACCTCACCAGAAATCTGAAATATATCAAGCTCATAAGTGTACCACAACCAGAAGAATAGGAATTACTCGCTCATCTGCAAAAATCCAGAGGCAGAAGCCATTTCCTTTCTCTGGAAAGGATATCTGCAAGTGTTTCCATGGAGCAAGCTGTATGTCATGAGCACAGAGATAAGACTTCTGCCTAATGCCTGGGGAGAAAATGTACATAGCTATGGGGTTATGCATGCTGCTGAAGATACACGAGCAGAGATGCTTGCCAACTCCAAAAGTCTCAGAATAATGGAAAACAAACAAATGCTAAGGCAAACAAATGCCTCTCTTTTCTTCAGATTCCTTTTCAGGAAATGAACTCTACAAATAAAACACCACAATTACCTTAACAACCCAAAACGTCTACTGGAGGATGGAGAAAGCAAGTCACTAGAACAAACTGGAATGAGGCTGGTTCCAACTTCTGTACCCATAACTAGTATTTAAAGATGGCTTTTAGGTCATTAAAACTTTCTCAGGAAGCAACATGCTTTATCAAACATAATTAACATTTTAGCAGATCCATTAGAAAGATCTCATCAGCAAAGAAGGGCTCTTTCAAACAGAAGGGAGAGGTTTCAGGAGGCATTTCCATTCCCCCCTTCTCTCTGGAGCTCAGAAGCCCTGCTGGCCATACCGCAGCAAGCTCTCTTTAAAGGCTTCAGAGAAGGAATTTGCTCCTTCATTCTATACAGCACCCAGCGATGATATTCACACAGCTACACTAAGGCAGCACATAAAACCTGACACTCTCATTTAGAACACAAAACACCGCAAATCACTAAAAAAGGAGTGTTCTGCGATGGTATAACATCTGTCACACAAATCTCAACACAGCATCAAGTCTTCGGGGCTTATCCTTAACTGAACATGCAAAACTTTCCATCGACTTCAGCCATCCAAAGCCTCCACGTAAAGAATGTGTTCCACCTCCGCTACTTCTTGGACAGTTAACCGAGGGGCCCGCATCTCGTCCGTGTTCTCCCACTGCCTGCATGTGAAACACACACATCTTGCTCTGTCACATGTCTCTGTTCCCGACAGCTTCTCAGACCGACTTCTTTTTTATGTTCATCTGGGCTTCTGGGAACTGCACGGCTCCTAACTAGTGTGCAATATACTGCTGCAAGCCCTTTATTAGAGGCACACATGGCCCCTGTTATGATGAAAAATGCTCCTTTTCAAATGCGCACGTATACTGCTCTATCATCACTCGGTGATAGAGCCCACAAATCTTCAGCTTTGCCCTTCTACAGATTACGAAATAAGAGAGAGGAAAAAAAAAAAAAAGACAGCCTTTGCTAGTCAGGAAGGGAGCAGTTGTGGGAACCGGATTCAAGAAAAATGTATCCATAGACAGACCTTTACAAAAGAACAGCAGATAGACATCTAGTTTGAGCTGGCTTTCTCTCTTTCTCCTTTTTTTCTCTTTCTTTCCTTCCTTTTTCCTTCCTTTCTTTCTCTTTTTCTTCTTCTCTCTCTTTCTTCCCCTCTTTTTTTACTACCTGTTTATTTCTAGAAGGTATTTTAAATGAAAATGGCTATGGTTCAATTTTTAGGTCTTGAAATGAGCAAAAATACTCTCAGATGAGAAGCCTTTGCACCGAACCCAGCTTAGGCAAACAGCCACTGCCTCAAACAGCCAGAAAAAGCAATAAGCAGCCCGCTACAGGAGGGCTTGCTGACACCACATATGCCATAATTATTCTGCTTTACAGGTTAGTTACCCCCCTGCCACGCTTCAGAGCTCAAAATGAGCCTTCCCTTCATGACACCTCATTTACCGACCCTGCAGTTACGCTCTTTCTTTTTAACTCTCCCGTCCTCAGCCTGCAAGCCCGTTTACCAGCCTCCAGCCCCGGGGCTTGTGACACCAGCTTGGTACCAGTGAGAGCTAGGACCAGTTTCCTGCAGGGGCCCAAGCCCACCCTGTGGCACTTTGACTTTCTGACATCCCTCTGTCATTTCACAGGCTGCTGAGGCACAAATTTTTTATCGTCCCATAGCCCTTGTGGTGTCCCATTAGTCTTTTCTGTTTACTCCCTGCCCACTCTGCGTTGAGTCTGGAAGTCAAAGAGCCCAGCCCTAATAGGTGGCCTGCAACGAGAGGGAGCTTCCAAGCACACAGGAAAAAGCATGCGAGCCTGCTAGCCAGCATGTGTGGCGAAGCATGCTGCCAAGTCACAGCAAAGTGAAGGCAGAAGCACAGCACAAAGTTCACCCCCCTCCCTCCACTCTCTCCCTTTGATGCTCAACTCCACCCGCAGCCTTTCCCCACTGGATGTGACAGTAGATTGCAGCTTCTCTTGACCCTTTCCCACCAGAAGCGTTACTCACGTGGCCATGCTGATCCAGCTCGTTGTTCGTGAGCTTCACTTTTTCAAACGACACCATCTGCTTCAGCAATTGCTCGCCCGTGAATGGGGAGTCTGGGTGCACGTACAGCCTGAAGGACACAGGGAAAAGGCTGGCACATCAAAACCTCTCCCAATGGTTGGAGGGCAAGCACCACCTCCGTACGAAGCGGCTAAGCCCGTATGATTTTGCTCTCAGGATGTGCAATGGTTTCACAGCAGTGGATTTCCTGAGAGTTCTGGATAATATAGGTCTGCTAGTCGAACAAGAAACATGCCATCTCCCCAAATGAATGAACGCCTGAAATATGGCCATTAATGAAAGACAGTAAAGCAGATGACTTGACTTGTTTAATTCACTGGAACATAATGAAGAATTCTGTGTCCAAGTGCTAGATTGCTCTCTAACCATAGTCATTATTTTATCTAGTTATCTAAAATGGAGACATTAACTAACATTCACTGTTGTGTCTTTTCCCAAATGAAAAATTGATCATGTCCTTCCCTACAGCTGTACTAACAAGCACTTAAAATAACAATGACTACAGCTCCAAGAGAAAAAACATGGTGTCATTAGAGAGATAATGGGGGAATGCAGATAAAAATGCATTTTTCTTTATATGTAACATTAAGCCATGATAATGATTTTAACCTGCACTCGATCACATGTTGGCTGTGGTGACATGTGTTTATAAGAGGTAGAAGGCTGCAGTCCAGCACAGTGGTCTGACATGAAAAAATTAATTGCAGCTCCGTAATTAGCAACCCACAACCTGGGAAATTAAGCAGAAGAAAAGGAAGCTTGGAAGACATGTAGATAGAATGATATATACATTATGACTAGACTAATTACAAAGTACTGGGCTATTTAAGAACAATGTTTTTATAGGAATAACATATTGCTGAAAATTATATAACTCAAATGTGCTTTCAAGATAGTGAATTAAGCACTGAAGTAGAGTTCCAGCTTAGAGCAAACTAGACTCATTCTGCTTCTGTCAGTGTGCATTACCATCCATTGAGAGCCTGGCTCCCTCTCTCCGGGTGATGTATTTGGCCACACTGAGAGATTTCTTCCATCAGGCAGTGGGGCAGTGCTGAGACGCCGGGTTAGAGAGAGAATTTATTTATTTATTTATTTATTTATTTATTTATTTATCATTGAAGTATGATTTTGGTTAGGCAAAAGGAGAATGGAAAAACTGCTAGATGATGAGGCGTAACTGTCTGATAGACCACACAGGTCCCTAATTGAGGCATAGCCCAGCTGAAGTCCCCCAGGAACACAGCTCTGTTGCTCAAAGAGGGAAGAGATTTGATCCTGGGCTCTTCCTTTCTGCCAGCAGAATCCCCAAGGCACAGTCCTGCTAATGAAACTGAAGTTTTACCAGCACAGCTCGCTTCAGATGGGCAGGATGTTTTCCTTCTATTGATCCAAAGTGCAGCTTGGCTAGTACACAGGAGGGATGCTGTGCCAGGGATCCTAACATACAGGGAACCTCACTGCTGCTGACTCTCTCGATTATAGTGTAAGGCTCACTAAAAATTATGATGCATCCGAAAACCTAAGAGCTTTTGTGAAAATCAACTTTGCCTTCCTGTTGAAAACGGTAAAAACTTGAATTTTTAAAGCCTCAAATTACCGAAGGCAAAGAAAAAACAATCCTAGCTGTATTGCTTCCAGCCTCTGAAGCTTTTCAGCCAGCCCTGTGATTTATTTTTTTTTTTAATTTTTTTTTTTTTTTGGAGCCTGACTCCTAATTTTGAATGTCTGGATAGCTAATACTGTTTACTGTGATCACAGAGTGTCAGGCTCAGCAAGGTTTGGCTAATTGGGACCAAAAAGCCAAACTATTTCAAATATGCGCTTGGGGAGTGAGTAAAGATCTTCGTGTGTCTAAAACTGAGCACAATTGTTGTACACCATATGCAGTTAATGCTTGGCACTGCTTTCAAACTACAAATTGCCTGGATGCTGGCAGCGAGCTAACAGGAAAGTCACTGAAAGATTGGCACCTGGATATTGGTTACATAAATGTGTTAATAGACATTGCCTTTCTGTACCAATGTGCTGCCTGCCCACTGCGAGGGGTGATGCTACCTGGCTAAGTACAACTCCCTGTGCACTTCTCCTACAGCCTGATCTCAAGCACCCTGGAGAAGTGGGTGCAAAACTGAATCTATTGAACTCCCAAGCAGAAGAAGCCGATGAGACTGGAGCAGAGGAATAAACGTGCACATTCCAGCACCACACACAAAACAACCCCAGAAGCAAGCACCAGCTCTGCTGCCTACAGCCAGCCAGATGTAGAAGGTTGCTCACTCGAATCCACAAAGACTTTAGGAGCCATATTTGGATGTGAATTCGGTCCGTGGTATTTCATGTTTCATGATATAGCCCAGGTTTGGGTACAGCTTCCCTCTTGCAAGTTTTGGAATGCTGCATCGCTCTCCTCCTGTTTAGTTTAGCAGCTGGTCTGGTCCTACAAGCCCTAAAGCTGCTAAGTATATTGCTTTTAACTACCTTAATATCTCAAAGAGGTAATTTTCAAAATTTAATACCTTTTAAAACTTTTATCCTTATAGTGCTCCATAAGCATCCAAACACTGCCATTTCATTAAATAAATGATTATAAGCAGGCCAAATAAAGTGGGGAGAATAAAAAATAAAAAACACTTTATGAGTGAAAGAAAGGAGGTAAAAAAGGATGAAGAGTAAGTAAAGGTACATGCTGAAACTTATTAAACTGACTATTAAACTGACATTTCTTTCTTACAGTCTTAGCAATTTGGAAGAACAAACATAAAATATCACATAGGAAATCTATTTCCAGATAGCACTTTAGAAGATTTACAAAAGACTCTCTGAAAAGTATTTTTATTCGAGTGTTCGTTGCAACATAAACTTGTCTGAAATGTTGACAGCAGGAAGACAGGGATAAAACTGCTTTTTGCAGTGAGTTCCCTGAAGGGCTAATCTTTCAAACAGAATCACAGAATACTTTTTAATTTCAAGAAAAGTTGTCTTGGCATTGAAAGTTATTTGTATAATAGAAAGAGCAAAGCAACTAACGGGTTTGATCCTGCAAAGTCTTACACCCATGCAAAACACGACTCCTGGATAATTCCACAGACACCACTGTGCCTACGTGGATGTTGGCAGCAATGTGCATGGGGAGGAAGCACCTCGGTCCAGCCAGCCAGGCGCTAAGCACACGGAGAAGAGAGTGTGAGCGATAAATGCACGAAGAGCTCCTGACACTGGCGCAGGACCAAACCCCTTTCAAGATGCTTGAGGAGGATCAAGGCCTCCCACCTCAAAAGAGGCATTAACACTCCAGAAGCAATACCAGTATCACAAACACTGGTGCACTCTACCTCTTGACAACCTTTTCTTACTGAATAATACAAGAGGGAGAAAGTGCATATACACCTATGTAAGTGTAATTCATACAGAGAAAAAAATAACCCCTGCCTGTGTCATGATCAATAGTCTTTTGGCTAAGCATCCTGAAAATGAAAGGGGATATACAGCAGAGATTCACATTTGCTCAGAGGGGCACTGACCCAAAAGGAACCTTACAGAGCTCCCACAGCATAGTGGTAATTAATATTCAGTTCCAATAAGGTTTGACCCCAGCTCCACAGCAGCTAGTAGGGCAGTTGCTAATTATTTCAAAGGATCAATCTCTTGTCTTATGTTCTTGTGAATATTTCTCCATTGAATTAATCTATGCCAGGCAGCGTGCAGATTAGCGACCTTACTAAGCGTAACCCAAAAAAGCACTTGAACAGACAAATACTATAGGGACAACCCTGCCCTGAAACTATTTCTGTCCTTCCCTTATTTTCTCTTTTGATGCTGACTCCTCCAGAGCAGGATCCATCTATATTCTTTGGGGTTTGATCAGTGTCCATTATAATACTTCAAATGAAGCCCTTAGATGTCAACCACATCTCAAGAAGAAGTTTTTGGCCATGAAAACATAGCTGACATAACTCCTAGGTTGCTGTCTTTAATAACAGCTTCTATGTGTGCACTTTCTCTTTACTTCCCTGAGTCGCCTTCCAGAGATCAGCAGTCAGCAAGATTTCAGTAGAGCTGTTTCTCTGAGGAAACATGCAGGATTCCTGCACTCATGCATAAAAATAAAAATAAACCATGCTGCCATTCCTTCTCTTACTTCTAATTTCAGTCTCTGTAATAAGCAAGATCTTAACCCCGGGCTAAGCCACCTGGAGCTGATCTGTGTGCCTGCGCTGAGCCCTCCACACTCCAGAAGAGTTTCTTTGAAGCCAGAGAGGCATCCACATTATTTCCATATCTCCAGCTCTGACTCAGCAAAGCCGTGAGACATGTGCTTCAGTCTTACTGGGCTTGGGGACTTAAGTATGTATTGAAGTGCTGTGCTGAGCATGATGAAGTGGGGGTCTGTGCTGAAGTGCCCTCCTGCCGTGCAGCCTGGTGCTGCAAGCCTCCGCTTCCCCACGCCAAAAGGAGTCAGTCTTTAATGACAGCAAGGAAATTATTTGGGAAATGAGTTTTCTACAGCATTTTCTTCCTGTGTAGAAACAGTGTTTCTGTCTAGAAAACGAGCTTACTTGTTGGGGTTTTTCTTTTCCCCTCCCTAAGGTCTCAGAAAATTTCATGGTTCCTCAACAAAAAAACCCTCTGTGCTGTAGAACTGATCCATACTTTGCCTGTTGTGTAAGAGATGACTAAAAGCAAGAATCAAATTATTGGTTACTAAACATTGGATACATTTTCCAAGAAATAATATAATTTTAAGCATAAACAGTGCTGCACTGTAGCATAGTATTTCTGCTTGGATTTGGATTGCTTTAAATTATATGAGGTCAAAATGCATCAGGGAGGGCAGAACCAAGAGACAAATCAATGTGTGTTTGTTTGGTTTTTTTTTTCTTTTTTTTTTGAGGCAAACTTCATTTAAAAATACATACATGCATAAAAGAGCCTTTAGCCAAATCCTGTATGCCTTTGAATATTCAGTATAAATCAAACCTCAAGCAGAGATGAGGCCCGATTCTGCAGCACAGAAATTAACCAGAGTTTTGCTATCAAATTTTTTGGACACAGACTCCAGCTCTCAGAGCACTGTTTAAAAGCAGCATGGAAAGAATAATAGCAGGTATTTCTTGAAAGAAAAAAAAAAAAAAAAAAAAAAAAAAAAAAAGACCAGCTTTAAAATCTACAAACCTTGCAGGGAGCGGAGGGTCAGCTTTTCCAGCCACTAACCAGGAAGACCTGTGGTAGGCATATCTATATCTTTTATTGTCCACAGGAACTATATCCATTAGCACAATGTACTTGGCTTCAGGATCCACTCCCGAGAAAGAAACCCTGATCGTGGGAAACATTCTCCTGAAATAAAGGCAAATCACAAAATAAATACGTGGAAGGAGAACAGAAATAAGAAGGCTTCAGAAAAGCTGCTACAAATAAGAGTTCTCTATTTAAACCACCTGGAAAAAATGAAAATATCTATTGATTCTGCTTTAGCGTGATAGAAATCTCATCCTCGGTCCCTCACAGAAAGAGCAGCTTTAAATCAAAACGATTTCTTTGAAGCAAAAGGAAAAATGGTAAAAGTGGAAAAGGAAAGGAGAAATGTATTTTTGCCTGTTAGTTATCAGCACACAAAGACTTCAGAAAACAGTTGCACCAAAGAAAAGCTGATTTCGATTTTTTTATGAGACACATACTAGGGCTAGAGAAATCTTTCAATTAACATTCTCACCAATTTTAGATGCACCTTCTTTTAGCCAGCTCACAGTGTTTCTGAGAGGCATTTTCAAAACAAAGCTTTCCCTTCGGCACTTAAATTTTGACAAAATTCAGATTTCTTGAAGCTTAATATTTTGCCGTAGACCAGAACTAAGGCTAAACAACTTTAAACAGCTTTAAAAATCGAGCTTCAAACTGCCGGTTTTATTCGTTTTCTTTTTTAAAAAATACCGTCGTAGCCGGTTAGTTAGAAAAATCCTCGGAAAATACTTTCGGAACAAGGAATTTCGGGGCTTACAAAACCCGACAAGCCGCCCGGCTCCTCCAGACGGCGTTTGGCTGCCGCAGCCCCAAAAAGCCTTGCTGGAGAAACCGGACGGTTTGAGCTGCCGAGAAATCTGGCTGGGGATCTTTCGCACATCTCTTGCAAACGACAAAAGGGGGAAAGACCCGAAGGGCTTTCCCCTCCACCCCGCATTTCCCGTGTCCGCACAGCGGAGTTCTTTCTCCTCTGCGCTGCTGCTGCCCGCCCCGGGCTGCGTTCCTGCAAAGTCTGGGCAAACCCAAACCTCTGCCCAGGCGCCGGGAACCCCCACTAGGCTCTCAACTCTCCCAGGAGCCGGTCTCGTCCCTGCCGAGGGGTCCGCGGCATTGCACCGCGTAAGACGCCGGGCGCAGGGTCGAGCCGACCGCTTTCACCCCCCTGATCCACCACCAAAACCGCGCTTTGGGGTGCTTCTTTCTTTTTCCTGCCCCTTTCTGCCCCCGCACTATTACTATTAAAAAAAATAATAATAATAACTACTTTTTCTCGGCTTTCCCCCCCCCCCCCGACGCCGCTTTGGGAAAGTGGCCCGGGGGCTCGCCCAGCCTTACCTCCCCGACTTGGTGATGATCATCTCAGTGCCCAGCTCGTGGAACTTGTCCCACAGCTCCTTGGTCTCCAGGCTGCAGGAGATTTTGGCCATCTCCTCGCTGGGGATGATGGGGGTGGTGGGGATGAGGGGCTCGGTGCACAGGGAGGAAGGGCTGCTGCTGAAATCCCCGTGGGGGTCCAGGCTGGACAAGTCGCTCAGAGGCTGGGCGCAGGAGGATTTCTCAACGAATTGCTCTGCGGGGGTCGGGGAGGAAGAGATGGAGAGGGAGGGCGTTCAGCGGCGGATGCCGACAAGGAGCTCTTTCCCACCGAGAAGCCGTTTATGGCTCGGCTGGGTCCCCTGCGAGCCCACACAGCCGCGCTCCTGATTAAAACTGGGGTGGTGATTTGGGGAGATGTCCCCCAGCCCCGCATCCATCCATGCACTCCCCAGAAACCAGCTGGGAAGAGCCAGCCGCGGGAAGCCGGGCAGTACCGCAGGGAGCTGGGGGGGGAGCCGGCTCCGCGAACGGCCGCACAAAAATTTAATATTTTTGCCCAAATCTCCAGTTTACAGTAGCTGAGCACTAGTTTCGCTTGGGTTTCTAATTGAATAGCGCGGGGAAGTTAGTTGGGTTTTTATTTCCAAAAGTAACTGAACGAGCGTTTAAAAAAAGAAAAGAAAAAAAAAAAAAAAAAAAAGAGAGAGAGAGAGAGAAGAAAAGAGCAAAAGTAGCCACGTGTTACGCGAGACTGTGCAAATATGTCAAAAAGGCAGACTATAATACTTTCGGCCAACACTGTCACCTAGACGAAAGAAAAAAGTTTGCAATGAACCCCCAGAATATGTGAAGTCTATCGAGCGAGGTGGTGAGGGGGAGCGGGCACGCAGAGATTTGCTTTTCCTAACTTCCTTCAAGCCCGAAAGTGAGCTTGGGCATTGGCGCCCTGAAAAGTTGCTGCTTTTTTTTTTTTTTTGGTAATTTTCTGTGAACTCTTGGATGCGTGCAAGGACCACAAGCCGCAGAAATTGGAGGAGGAAGGAGATGCTAACGTTTTTTTAAAGAGAAAATTTGGGAAAAAAATAGAAATAGGAAAACGGAATTGAAGCCGAATCGCTTACCCGAAAAGCGCGAGGAGTTACAGTAAAAATCCTCCAGGATTTTACAGACTAAAAGTGCCTCCCCGAGCCTACACCGAACAGCAAGTTTTTGTGCAGCAGGGCACAGAGCAGTCCCTCCTACCTGGCTTTTTAAAAGCGTGGGTTACTTGCAGGAGACGTGGGAGAGCCCTGTTTCATAGCAGCGAGGAGGACCGCGGCTACCATGGGGGTTACGGGACGAGCTGCGGGGGCTGAGGAACAACCCGCGGAGCCGGTGGGTCGCTTTTCGGGTGGAGGGGGGCTTCTGCAGGGGGGCAGCAGGGCTGGGGGCGCTGGGACAACATCCCGGGGCTGCCGAAGCTTTGGGAAGGGGGGTCCGGGCTGCCGGCCGCGGGGAGGGGGGTCCCCCAGGCAGGATGCGGGGCTCCGCAGCCTGCTCCCCACCTGCTCCCAGCCCCGCTCGCTCACCTAGCGGCTTGATGGTGCTCTCGGTCGGCTCCTTCTCCTTGGGGCTGCCGCTCGCCATGAGGGCAGCGATGGAAAAGGCGTTGGCCCGCGAGGAGAGCTGCGGTTTGGGGGGCGCCGTGTACTCCATGGTCCGCGGCCGGCCGGGTGGCTCCATCGGGTCGGGTCCCGTCGGGTCCCCTGGTGTCGCCTCGTCGCAGCAGCGGTGGCTCTGTGCACCCCCAGCCCCACTCTCCCCCGCCTTAACGCGGGGGCCGCCGAGATCCTATCGGGCGGCGGCCAATCGGCGCCGGGACACGTCAAGGGCCGCGGCCGCGGAGCTGGGGGCGGAGGAGGAGGAGGAGGAGGAAGAGCAGGGAGGGGAGGGGAAGGCTCTGCCCGCCTCGCCGCGGGGTGGGCAGGGGGCGGCCGGCCCCGCGGGGGGAGCCGGCCCCGCTCCCCGCTGCCAGCCCCCGCACTTGACTTTGGTTTTCCCGCACCACAGCCCGGTGCTCCTTTAAACGCGTCCTGTAAGCACACACCCGCAAATAACGACAGAAGCCCAACAACCAAAAAAAAAAAAAAAAAAAACAATCGGGGAATTTAACTGAAGTGCTTCGAAAAGGTTTGCCCTCTAAAACGACCCAAGAGCAGGAGAGAATCTGTCCCCAGAGTGCCTCCCCAGCCCCAAAGGGGGCAGAACCCGAGGGGTTTTGGGGTGCTGGGGCACGGCGGGGCTCCGCGGCTCCGGTTCCCCCAAATTCTGTCTTTAAATTGGGAGCGTGGAGGAGCAGCTCCTCGGGTACAGCCCGGGATGGCAGCCGCTGAGTTCTCCGAAAGGAGTGAGGAGTCCGCTCGGTTCCCGCAGAAATCAGCTGGCTGTAGCGATATCCTGCAGCAAGCGGGGCGCCAGTACCCATTTCATAAAAATAACCCCCCAAAAAAGAGAAAAGAAAGCCGCCCTCCAGCTGTCCGGTGTCTCCCGGGCGGGGGTCGCGCGGGTCCCGTCCCTCGGGGCTGCCGAGGAAGGCAGGGCGGAGTGCGCATCAGCCCGCCGGGGCGATGCCCTTGGGTTGTCCCACTAACCCGCAGCCAAGCACCCGACAAAGAAACGCCAAAAGTCTGCCTTTCCCTCCCTCCTGGGACAGGACCGGCCGGGGGGCTGGCGGGTCCCCGCTCGGACCCTACAAGTAAAACCCGTGGGGGGCTTCGTTTTGTTTTATTTTAAACGGGGGCCATCCACGAGGGAGAGAAAGCGGCTATTTTTCCTCGGGCAAGCTTTCCCTCTGCCCCACGAGAACCTTAATTTTCTTGCTTTTGCCCTCTCTCTGCCTCCGGTAGGGAAATGACCATGGTCGGTACGTGCAGAGCATCCCCCCGACCCCCTCCCGTGGGCAGCCCAAGGGGCTCGGCCTCGGCACCCCCCTCCCGGCCAGGGACGAGCAGGGACACGCGGGGATCCGGGGTCGCGAGGCGGGACGAGGTACAAGCCCTCTGCGGACCCCATTCATTGAGGTGCTGCTTGGCTCTAATTGCGGGAGCTGCTTTTCTCCGCAGCAAACGCAGCTGTTTGGCAGTGTGGCACGGCAGAGCCATTTCGCTGCCCCTCGCCCTCTGTTGCATCCCGTCTCTTGGAAGCGCTTTTTTTTTCATTTTTTCCCCCTCTTTTGCGTTTGCTCTGGCAAAACAAACTAACAAACAAAACAAAGCAAAACCAAGAAAGCCCCAAAGCAACGCCAAATCAGCGGGAGGTCACTGCACACCTCTTCGCGCCCGCCTAGCGAGGGGTTTTCGTCAGGGCGAGATCTCGCTTCCACCGCCGGGTTTTGGGGAGCCCCCAAGAAAGGTCTCCCTCATCCCTGGAAAGCAAAAGCGGCAACCTCAGCCCGTCGGTACGATGAGCACCGCTTCCTCCCGGCCCTTTCCGTTCTCCCTTCCCAAAATCCCGGCGAGAAGGAGCCATGGGGAGCAGAAACCCGCACACACCCGCCCGGCACCGCGTCGGGCAGATCCTGTTTATTGATACTTGGGTTTCCTTTTTCCTTTTTTCTTTTTTTTTTCTTTTTTTTCTTTCATTTTTTCTTTTTCCCATTTTCTTTCCATGCAAACAGCTCGTTCTGGGTAAAAAAGAAAAAAAAAACAAAAACAAAAAAAAAAAAAAACAAAAACACGGTTTATTCCCTCGGACACCGTCGCAAGAGTGCAGTTTCTGCGGGACCGCCCGGCTCAGCGGCACCGGCAGCTCCCGGTTCACCCCCTGCCTCCTCCTTCGCCCCCCGAGTTTGATGCGTGCGGGGCTCCCCCCGCAGAACTCGCCCCGGCTCCTCGCCCCCTGGCCCCGCAGCAAGCTCTTTGCCAGCGCCAATTCTCGCCGTGTCCCCAACGAAAGGAGCCGCGGATGCCCAGGTAACCGCGATCCCATCTCCGGGCAAAAACATTTCAATGTCACCCGCCCCGAGAAGGGGGTTTACGGGAGCAAAATGCCAGACATTTTAAGCCCATTAGGTATCTCCCAGATGCAAATCCGCCGGCGGAAAGAGAAAGGCTCTATTAAGATCCGAGGGCTGACAATTAGATTATAGTCCAATTGCCAGCGGATAATGTGCTAAAAGCTTTCCCACTTAGTGTAACTCCTCGCTGAAAATTATTCACACTTTGCGGGCTGCTGCACTCCGGAGGGGGAGACGGCTTTGTCCGCGGAGAGCGCGACCGGCCGGGCGGAGCGACACACGGACACACGGACATACAGACACACGGAGTCCCCCGGCCAGGGGGATCACCAAACACCCCTAAACCCCAAGGAGAAGCCATAAGGCAAACCCGATTCCCCTGCAAGTTTACCGACGCTGCCACCGCAGGCACACGCGTGGGAGCCGGGCTCCGTGACACTTTCACGCCCTTCCTCTGCCGCTCCACATCCCCTGAAAACCTGCTGTGGGCTTCCCCTGTAAGCCTGGCCCTCGCTGTGAGCGTGACATTTCCACGCAGACGAAAGCAAGGTAGATATGGGTCCGGGTTGGAACAGCCCCCAGAAGCCGACTCGGGAGCTGCGGGACCTCGCAGCCGCCGGGAAAGCGGGAAAAATCGGATTGAAACCCGATTTCCCGGCCTGAGACAACCCGAGGAAATTGTTCCTCCCCCCCCCGGCAGGGGTACCCCGCCGGCTGGACACCGCCTTGAGCTCCGCCGCAGGGCTGAGCCCAGAGGCTGGCGGTGGAGAGATGGAGAGGCTCGGAGAAGCTCCTTTACGCGCCTTGAACATGAAAATAACAAAATACGAAATCAGAGTGCAACGTTTTCCGTTTCCAGCCCAGCTACTTCACAGCGGAGGAGCGGATTTCAGTGGTTTGCAAAAGGATGCTCGCATGATTTTTGTGCACGAAAATCTTTTTCAATGACTATACGAAAAGCGTTTCACGACGCTCTTCACAATCACAAAACGCTTACTTAGCGGGTGGGAGTATTATTCAGGATACAAAATGCGCGTGCACAGGTAGACGCAGCTAGAGGTACAGGCGTGCAGCCCCCAGACTTGAACTTGCCTGCCGATGCTTTCCTCAGATGCTTTCTACCCAGCGCTGCACGCAGCCCGCCTTCTGCCACAGCCCGAGTTCACCGTAAACTGAAACCAGCCACAATCTTACTGGAAATCAGGACTTTTGGGTTGTGTGCATCTTAAAGACGTTAAACTGTACATCAGTGATGTGGAAGCTGTTTGCTGGGGCTTCTGAAAATCTCTCCTAGCTCGTGAAGTTTCACTGAAGCTGCCATATCCTGACCGATGTATGTACATCTATCTGTCTGTCCCGGAGAGAGGACTGAGGTCGCTGCCGACTCTCTGCTAGGAGATGGAAAAGCAGCTCCCGGCAGCCTGGAAAGCTGCGAGGGTTCCCTCTCCTCCGACCAGCTCCTGGGGCCTCTCAGAAACCGAGCTTCTGCAGGCGCCAGGAGAGCGGCCCCGCAACCCTTCACGGCTTGAAGCAAACCTCTGGCTACTGAGCAATGTAACTACACACCGGGACTGCTCAGAAACTGTACTCCAGCTCTTGGAAAAAATAATGTATATATATACATATACAAACACACATGTATATCTTCGTAATGGTGACAGATTTTATGCAAAACTTTGCATTCCATTTTCTTTCCCGATGTCTTGCTTTTTTTCACGTTTCATATTTAATTTTCAATTTCAGAATTATTTAATAAATCAGCATATTTATAACCTTACTATGTAATTGGAATATAAAGGTTTATTTTTTTAAAACTTTTTGTTTTCTTGTGAAAACTGCATGTTTACAAGATGCTAGTATATTGCCAATTCAAATTCTTTAGAGCAAATTCAGCTAAATAAAGTTTTGAGGAGCCTATTTTTTTGTTTGTTTGTTTAAAAATTCAGACTGCACAGCAATCGATTTTAAGATGATCACATACACATTAAGAGAACTGGTAATTTTTTTTCCCTTGACTATTGCGGGCCTTGGACTGGTAGAAGAATTTTAGAGTTGCCTGTAATGGCGATATGAAAATAGGAATAGCGGGAAGCGTGGGGAAGGATAGAAACCTCAAGGATTAAGAAAAACATTTTCTGGCAAATGTTAAGGCAAACTTCTTTTCTCTTCTTTTCTTCTAAATAGAAGTGTCTCTGATTTTGGGTCTCTAGCTTGAGATGTCTTGGGTGCTACTTACTTCATCTAGATTTATAGCTCCTTGACACTTCTTTTGTTGTGTCCAAAGTTTTGTCCCAAAATATCTAAAGCTAAGAACCTAAAATTAGAGAGTGCCTTTGCAAGTGCTGACTTCTGCATATTTCCCCTCTCTGAATATACAGCAGTAGGACTACACCCAAAGACAACGAGTTTTGCTTTGAGGGCTGGCTGTAGAAAGAATTAAAAAAAAAAAAAGACTATCAGCCATTTTCCAAAAAAAACCTCACTAGCATAAGCTTTTCAGTTTTTGCCCAGTGAGGCATGTTCATTTTGTGCTGGTAAAGGTAAAAGAAAACATTGGTTTCTGAAGAATAAAGAATGATAAAACAAGGAGATGACTGGATAATAAAGAAGATTTCATTTTTTGGCCTAATGAACTCAGAAAGTGAGAAGAAGCGTCGTGATTTCCAACTCTTACAGATCACACGAAGCATGTTGTAATGAAGCATTGCACGGGCTGGGAGCAGCACTTCTGTCACCAAGGAATGGCTCCAGCAGCCTTCTGCTGTCTGAAGCACCACTGCAATGGTTGCAAAAACCCAACGCACAAAGATAGGGCTGCAGTGCCAGGCCGATGGGGCACAGCAGGCAGGATGGCCAGATATTTCTGGCTTCTTTCTGTGCTGTAAGGACACAGCAAAAAGCACTCCCACACCACGGTGCAGTGAAAGGCATCGTTTTTTGCTTATTTTAGCAGTATGGGGAACAGGCTTGGGGTGTTCTGGCACTAAAATGATACATACTTTTTTTAAGCTTACAGTGCTAAGGTCTGCGATTTTGAAAGTATTTAGGATTAGGGCTTGAA